TCTCTTCTTTTACTTGTCTCAGGCCAAATAAATTCATGCTGTGATTTCTATGAGACTTGTATTAAGATGCCCTGATTTGTATAGACTGACCAGGAGAATACTACTGCCATGTAATCTGTATAGCTCCAGATACTTTGCCATGAGCATTGAAATAATGACAGTTTTGTTGTATTTGTTTTATCTCCCTTAAGGGCACATTCTTTTTTTGTGAGGAGAAAAGTTGCATTCGGTTAAAATCTGTAGAAAGCAGGTTTACTACACTTAGAATAGTGTTAACTTTGTGAAAATTTTGAAGTTAGCTTTCATCTGAAGTGCCTTAGGCTCTTTACTTTTCTAGTAATGGTTTAAATATTATTTGTTATACATTTTAAAAATACTATTCAAAATGACACATTGTAGTGGCAAAGATAACCAAATGTCTGGCTGTTTGCTTTTTGACCATATCAATAAACTTTTACAATCTAAATTCTGAGTTTTTTTATGAACATCGAAAGAGGGGTGAATTTAAAACTCTAAACTAGTATTGTAATATTAGGATATTCCATTTTGAAAATACAGTTAACTTTCTTATTGTCCTAAGGACAAGTGAATTTGATGGCCAAAGGAAATTCTAGGTTGAGTTGCATTCTTCTAGGATTCCATATATTATCCTTCATTAGTGTTGTCACCCATTGGATTAGTCAAAACAGCCAAGGTAAGTAGATGAATAGCTGTTTTCAACGGTTGATCTAGCTTTTGTCCCAGTCGGTAAACACTGTGACTAGCTAATTCCCTTTTGGTACTAAATAATTGATTTGAAACAGTTACCCAGACAGATTATCAAGTTATATGATACTGGACAACATTTGCAAACATGGGGTAGAAACACTGGACAGGAAATAAACAGACGTGGCTTTTAAATAACTTTTAGTCTTTACTCTGTTTCTGTCTAGGTATGTGACCATAGGCAAATCACTTGAACCTCCCTGGACCTATTTATTTATTAATATTTTTTAAAATATGTTTTTATTGATTTCAGAGAGTAAGGGAGAAGGAGAGAGAGAGATAGAAACATCCATGATGAGAGAGAATCATGGATTGGCTGCCTCCTGCACGCCCCACACTGGGGAGTGAGCCTACAGGCCGATGCTCTAGCCACTGAGCCAAACTGGCTTGGGCAAGGACCTATTTATTTTAATGTGAGTGCAGTGGACTAAATCACTTCAGTGTTTCTTCTAACACTGATGTTCTGTGATGCAAAATATTAAAGATGTATTTAAATTTTGAATAGATATCATTGGTGATTTTCACGTTTGGTGTTGAATTTAATCAATTGAAATGTAGGATGTTTTATAGTCAGATTTATGAGGAAGCTGAAATGCTTGTGGAGGCCATTAAACTGTAAATTGTTTAATAATATGCATTGAAATATGTTTTAGAAAGGATGCACTTGAAACCAATATATTAATGTCACATCTAGATTTAAATGGTTTCTGACAAATTGTAAGCAAGAATAAAATTAAGAGGGAATAAAGGGGGGAGGACATCTGTAATACTCTCAGCAATAAAGATAATTTTTTTAAAAGGGGTAAGATCAAAAACTATAATAGTATGCTATTACTATTACATATTTTAATGTTATAGAAAGTTAAATCCAAAGGGACTTTGATACTATTTAATCAGCCCCTTCATTTTGACTGCTAAAGAAAACCTGCCCTAGAGAGGGGAAACAATTTACTGAAAGTTATTCTAAGGAATGCCTACAGGTTTCCCATTTACTGCAAATTCCCTATGGATTAGGTTTCACTTAGAAATATAAATTATTCCCTAAAGACATGGAAACCATAGTTAGTTTACCTTGATTGCTTCCTCACATCTAGATTGCTGGGAGAAGGGTCCTAATGAGAGAAGCATTACCCAACAGGGACTGATGCAGGCTTCAGAAGGGAGTTTCTAGTATGACTCTCTTTAAACCGTGAAAGTGGAATTTAATTGGGGACACAAAAAGGCTTTTATTCAGAAGGGAGGCAGGAACAGTAGCCTAGAGATTACTCTTCAGAATTTTGTCTTGTACATTCCTTTTGGTCTGTGTTCTCAACTTTTCCTGGGTGTAATTATGGAGGAAAATACCAATGACTGTCATAAGAGAAATGCAAATCAAATCCACAATGAGATATCACCTCACACCCCCTGGGATAACTACTATAAAAAAAAAAAAAACCCACACAACAGAAAATAAGTATTGGCAATGATGTAGAGAAATTGGTAACCTTGTATAATATTGGGTAGTTGGAATCTGAAATGGTGCAGCCACTACAGAAAACAGTATGGAGGTTCCTCAAGAAATTTAAAATAGAAGTACCATATGATCCAGCAATTCCCACTTCTGGATACATATCCAAAAGAATTAGAAGCAGAACCTCAAAGAGATACTTTCATACTTATATCTATAGCAGCATTATTCTGACTAGTCAAAAAGTAGAACCAATCAAGTGTTCATGGATGGGTGAATAGAAAAACAAAATGTGGTATATACATACAATAATATTATTCAGACTTAAAGAGGAAGGAAAGTCTGACACATAACACAAATAAACCTTTTTTGGACATTATGCTAAGTGAAATAAAGCAGTCATAAAAGACAAATACTGGCCTGGCCAGTGTCACTCAGTGGTTGAGTGTCGACCTATGAACCAGGAGGTCACGGTTCATTCCCCATCAAGGAGCATGCCTGGGTTTCAGGCTCAATCCCCAGTATGGAGCTTGTAGGAGGCAGCCGATTGATGATTCTCTCTCATCATTGATGTTTCTATCTCTCCCTCTCCCTTCCTCTCTGTAATCAATAAATAAAAAGGTAATATGCAAATTGACCCTAACAGTGAAACGATCGGTCGCTAGGATGTGCACTGACCACCAGGGGGCAGAAGCTCAATGCAGGAGCTGCCCCTAGTGGTCAGTGCTCTCCCAGAGGGGGAACTCTGCTCAGCCACAAGCTGGGCTGATGGCTGCAAGCACAGTGGTGGTGGCTCCCGGGCTGCCAGAGGGATGTCTGACTACCAGCTTTGGCCCAATTGCCCGGGGAGCAGGACTAAGCTGTCAGTTGAACATCCCCCAAGGGCTCCCGTGCTGCCAGAGGGATGTCTGACTGCCAACTTAGGCCTGATCCCCTGGGGAGCAGGCCTAATCCATCAGTTGGACGTCCCCTGAGGGGTCCCGGACTGCGAGAGGGTAGCAAAAACACCTAGCCTTGCAAAACCCAAGATAGTGATGGCCTTCACTGATCACTCCATTTGTCAGAGGCCCAAAAAGAACTTGCAGCATGATTACCTACCGGCTGAACTTTCACTCTAAGCAGCAAACTTTAAGGAGTCAAAGAGGAGACTCCCATGGGCAAGGGAAAGAAGAAACATGTTAACTCTAAACTTCAAAGACAGTATATGGTACACAACCCACATTCAAACCCCAGAGAGGTGGGCAAATCCCCCAAAGTAGTTGTTAGATTTTTTTTACTGTAGTCAAAGAGGAGACTCCCATGGGCAAGGGAAAGAAGAAACATGTTAACTCTAAACTTCAAAGACAGTATATGGTACACAACCCACATTCAAACCCCAGAGAGGTGGGCAAATCCCCCAAAGTAGTTGTTAGATTTTTTTTACTCTTTTTTTTCTTTTTTAATTAAATCTTTATTGTTCAGATTATTACAGTTGTTCCTCTTTTTCCCCCCCATAACTCCCCTCCTCCCACCCGCCCCACCACCCTCCT